TTGTTTTCTTTCAACAGGAACAAAACTCTCAGTACTTCTAATGCATGATTTTTTGTTTGTGAAAACCTAATTCCTTTTTGAACAACTTCTTCCCTTTTTCTCCCTGTACTGTGCAGTTTACAGTAGCTTGTGTTCATAGGGCTSTTCTCTGGCAGGTGCTCAAGCATGCTTTTACTATGAAAATGCTGTCTCTTTGTGGCTTACACTTAAATTAGGATTTTGATAAAAGGAAGCTAGGGAAGAATACATGTTTTGCACGTGTTAAAATTAGTGTCYGTTTCTTACTTGATAGCCTTTCAGCAGCTCACTGAATTGTAGCAGGGCCAATGGTGTATGTTAAGGTATGACTTCTTGTCTGTGTATGTGACTGTATGATTTATCTCTAGTTGTGGCTTTTAAACAAATAATAGAAGCTTAGCAGTGTAAAACTGAGGATAATTTTCTCAGTAGATGAAGGGTATATTTGTGTCCTACAGATATTAGTTGGAGTCATACCAAAGAAAAAGGGAAATGCATTGGGATTGTAATCTTGTAAGGCTGATGTTGTGAAAACTAAAGAGCATGGAACCTTGAAGTTTTGAATAGCAATTCACAACATGATGKGAGTCTTTAAGTGATGGAAAGAGASTGGTATCTTGAGATTATAGTAGGTTGGATATCCTGATAGAGGTGTATGAGCTACAGCTACTTGTATTAGGAAACTGGTAGAGCCAGAAGGGAGTGGAAAAAGTTTAACAAAACAAAAAACAAGTGCTGAAAAGGCCTGGGTTRAGAAATGAGGTTAGAAAACAAAGGCAGTTTGAGTCTGTCATATGGCATAGTTAAAGAGTACAAGAGGTGGATATTGCACATTTGGCATATAGAGCAGCTGTGATAGGGGGATTGTAAGAGATGTTGATCTTTGGAAGGAGAGGCAGAATAGTACAAGTATTGTAAAATCTGTTTGTGCTGGTACCTAAAATGGTAGCTGTTTTCTGTATCTAGCCATTCTTTTGTCAGCAGCTAGTGGCACCCACTAATTATGACAAATTATGTAAGCACAGCCCATTGACTGTTTCTCAGTTTATAAATAAAATAGCTTTTGTTTTTTTAGCTCAGGTTTTATATGTGAGCTACTAAAACTTCAATGTAAACAGTGTTATAAGTACCCAGAGCAGAGCATTGTTCCAATCTACATTATAGCAAATGCTAAAGTTAAAAGAAATAGAGTTGTTTAAATACCAATTGTACACTTTGTAAAAATAAATTTCCCCCATCCAATTAAAAAGAGGATACAATTGCTTTAATAACTTGACATACTTTAGTAAGACTATGATCAGTGMACAAAACTGGGTTATTTTTTAGTGGAAATATTCTGAACTCATTCTGAGATTCCATGCTTTTAAATAAAGAAAGATAYTTCCTGCCACTGTGGGCTTCACCTAGGTGCATAATAGCAATCTGTTTTTCCTTTTTGAACCAAATCTGTCCAGCTAGTGCAATAAAGTGGACTGTAACTATTCATTGAAGCATTATTAATGCAGTAAATGGGGCACACTTTGAAATGAAAGAAACAACACAACGTTTTTCCCTCTCTTTAGGAATTGAGGTGGCTTTCTGTGAGAAGAAATCTGCATCATTCGTCTGTGAGTCTGAAACCTCCGTATGCATGAAGTCATCAGTTTCATCCTAGAAAAGATTACAGCATGGAAGATAAAATTTTTACATTAACTTCTACAGATGCTGTAAAACACTGGGGTTTTTAGCTGTATATTTTACTAGCATACCTATCTCAGGGCAGGTATTGTTCTTCCTAACTTGTGACATCTCCTTGGAGGTTCCTCCACTCCTCTTTGTCAAGTAATAAAATGAAATTTTGTAGTTTGGTCAGATAAAAACACATAAAATTATTTTATGTCTGCACTTTTTCTTAATAGAAACCCTGTTACAGGAGAAAAGGGTAATTTCTGAAGCACAGCCTATTGTATGTATTCCAGTTACTAACTCAGATTGAAAACCAATGAACTACTACTAAAGAGATAACCTTTCATGTCTGGGTTATATAAACTTTAAAGATACTTTAGCTATGRAATTGAAGCCATTTGGCCACATACTGACAGCATTCTTATGCTGTGGATTAACATCTGATTATTTAAATCTATATGAATTTATTTCCATTCCAAAACAGTTTGTCTGGCTTAATTTTTTTTTGCTATCAGTATTCTCTACTTTTATTATGTGTATTTATTACTTACATGTCATTTTAGTCTTTTGCAATAATAACATTTTAAAATAAAATTTGGACCACTAGTTTAGTAATTATTTGTTCTCATCCTAGTATTTTTCTTGCATGTGGTAGGAAATAGATTTGGTTTTATATAATGTTTTTAGCTATAGAAAAAGGCAAGAATTGACCACTTGATTTAGAAGACCATTGAAAGCTTCTGTTTACTTTTGTCATTTTCTGTTGTCTGTCTGAAAATACAGAGCTCCCTGGCATTAACACTACTTGAGATGAAATACTTTTTTGCCTCAGCTTCAAGAAGATAATTTTCTTTTTTATTGGTGTTGGTCTTTTGGGTTTTTTTTTTTTTTTTGGTTGATTTTTCCTTCTCCCCTCACATTGCAAGATTCCTTTTATTTATTATAAAAGTAAGATTCCTTAAAGGTTGAAAATACAGCCTCTGTAGTTACAGAAGTGCAAGCTATGGATTATTGCTTCTGTAAAAGTGAAGTCTCTAKGTATTTAAAACATCCTTGAGCTATTCAGTTTTATCTGTTTTTGTAGTAATTTGGGGGTTTTTGTGTGGATTTATTCTGATGGCTTTTTTTTCCTTTTTAATCATTCAGTGATCATACCAAAGGAGCATTKTAGTCAGTGAATAATCCGTGTATGATATGTAAATTTCTTTGAAGATGGTTCTAATGTTCAGTAGTGCTTTATGGTGTTGTCCAGTAAGAAAGTTGGAGTCTGTTCTGGTTTTATGCTGTTTTGAAATTGTTATGAAAGGAGATGCCATGTACTAGATTTTGGTTGCAGGTTTCCTCAAGTGACTTTGCACCTTCTGCTAGGTAAAAAAATCTACACAAATATAATTTTAATGGTTTTTCTTTTTAACAACTTGTTGCCATWGCAGCTGTGGTGGATTGTTTTACCAGTAAATAACAAATTTTATTTGTTGCATGCATGGGGAGTGCAGCCTATTTTTGAAGGGGGAAGTGCTCGTCTGCTGTAGGTTAAGTTGATSCCATAGCCTTTGCTTCAAAGATCATTCACTTTGTTTTTACTTGCATGTGAATTTGATTGTTTTTAAGAATATTCAGCATCTGGTACTTGACTGTCCCTGCTGTGTTCTATTGTCCGGTCTGTAACGTTGGTCTGGAGGGACTGTTAGTTAGGTTTGTATCTTCAGGTCTTAACAAAGCTTTGTTTTGATTTGCAAGACCAAGAAGAAACCAAATAGCTCTGAATATTGGTCTTCYTCCAGGAGCTGGCAGTCACAGTTGAAATACTGAGGCCTTTTCATTTATATTGTAGCTCATCTTCCTTCCAAATGCTTGCCAAGAGTGATGGCATGGTATCAGACCGCAGTGACTGAACCTTTCCGGAGCTGAATCCTTCTGTAGGCACAGTTGAGATGTAACTGACTTTACCTTTATGAATCCCTGTAACTGAATTACATATGTGCTGAGGAAGAACTACATTTCCTCTGTGCCTACAGTTATGCTGCTTTGATGTTCTAGCATTTGTAACTTCTTGTTCTTGTACACTGCACAGTGCTATTCTCCTGCTAGTTTGGATTTCCAGAATGTGGAGCTTCCTGTGCTATTAAACAGAAGTAATTTRCTTAACTGCAGATCTTCTGATGAGGGTTTTGGGGGGATGGAGAAAAGGTCACATTCTCTTTTGCCTTCTGCAGTTTCCCATTGATAATTGTAAGGCTTCACACTTCCTGCTAGGAAGGAATATATCCAATAAGGACTGTGCCCTGGGGATGTGCCACAATTGACAGCAGATAATCTTTATGCATTAGCTGTTGCAGTCACATATTAGCTAAGTTAATTTTCTGGCTTCTACCCCATAGAATTTAAGAGTTCTGATTGGTATCTTCTCTTTTCTACTGAGCTAGCTATAACAGTATTCTAGTAACTGCTCTCCCCTTAATGTTATATTTCTATGGAAAAAAATTCTAACATTTTCTGTTTGATAATGCTGGATAAAAACCTGTGGACATCAAGTTACTCAAGTTCCACCTTTCCTGTATTTTTATATATCTGGTTGGCTTTTTTTTTTTGTATAAAAGTATTCTCTAAGTCACTAGCATTTTTGGTTATTGCTGCTTCAGATCTCATGCATCAGAAGTCTACTCATTATCCTTGAGAAACTGTTTACCGTTTTCATTTTAAATTGGCAATTCTTTGTATTCTGAAACTGCTTTTCCAAAATAGCTAGAAATTCACTGAGTGAACTGCATTCCAATAGTAACTGTGCAGAAACTAGTGGAACACATGGCTCTCTTGATATGTTTTTCTCTGTTTAACGTAGTTTTAAAATGTGAAATGTTATATRGCTGCAAAATAGCGCTTTTTTTGTAAAATAGGTTTGTGACTTTGTAATGTTGGAAGTACTTCAATAGGTTCAGTTCACCTCCTATAAAAACTTCCTAAGTTTCCTATTGAAATAAGAAATATACAGCTTAAATCCTTATTTTAAGGATCCAGAATACAGTGCCATGTGTGCAGTCCCATCCACAAATCTTTATAAAGGTGTTATACAGAAAATCTAGATCTAGACTATCCAGTTTCTAGAATGCATGGTTTTGGCTGGTGGCTAACATATGGCTCTAGTGTTTGATACTGTAWTGGAGATACAGATGATACACTTACTACTGCCTTGATAATTAAGACAGTGTGGATACACTGAGAGAAAAGTTTAATGAATTTGCAGATCTCATTGTAGAGAACTGTAAACAATTTTAGAAATCAAAAGCTCTTTTTATTGAAACTGCTTGTAATACAGCAATAATAAAACAATCTTCTGTAGTTTTGGATTTCTAGTAAAGTTGTGGGTTGGTAGCTACAAGTTTAATTCAAACTGGTCTATATTTACTGTTTGGATTGTAACTTTTGTTTATTGTAGTATTAAAGTTTAAATATGGGTTTAGAAAAACATGAAAAAATGGAATTATACTTTGATAATTAAACTATGTTTTAATGACTGCAAAAGCAAACTATTGTTGTCATCTCTGTTCATTGTTTTTACAGCTTTTATGTTAAAACTTAGAGCAGAAAAGCTGTCTTTTTTGCCTAAGTTAACACATGTAACAAGTTTGTGTTTCTGTCACGTTCACAAAACCCTTCAAAGAAAAAAGAGATTTGGCTGAAGAGAAAAACTGAAGGAAAAAAAAAAGCAAATTTTCAAACCCCAGAGCCTTCAGAATGAAACCTTGCTGCTTTCTTAGTATCTTTAAATCGGGTCATTCTAGAAAAAAAAAGAAGTTTCACTGTTTTAGTTCAAATAACTGCTATTGGGAATGGGGGTGTGAAAAATATTTGACAATTGAGTTGCAGAATKCTTCTGATGGAAGCTTTTTGCTTTTTCTGTCATTATCATCTCTCAAGCAAAAACTTTACATTTGCTTTGAGTCATAAAACAAAAAAGGAAGTAAGCCTGAAAAGAAGTTSAAAGAGGAACTGAAGTTGAAAAATATTGCCATTTGAGGTTATTAATATTTAGGGGGTTTGAAATGTGTTCTTTTTGAGTCCTGTAGCTGTTAAAATACCCTCAGGTTCTGAAGAAATGTAATTTAGCTTGTAATTTGTAATTTGTTTGTAATTTGTTGCCTTGTCCTCTGTTTAAAAACATTGTATCATTGATGACTGATCTATGGCCAATAATGCAGATTTTTTTTTTTTATCCTTCAAAAAGCATGCAAACATTCCAGCCCAAGTACGAAACATGCTTGGTCCAAATATTTTGCATTTTGACTTTGTCAGAGGGAATTGAGCTCTCCCTTCCATTTCTCATTGAGTCAGTTTTGGGCCTAGTAAAATCTTTATTACTAATAGTAGTATATTCTTTAGGTAATTGGTAGCAGTTTAGGGTATTTGCATTTCTCCTGCTCACTACACCAATGTTAAGAATAGCAATGAGTTTTTACTGGCGGTACATCTGTGAGAAGGTTGTTCACTCAAAATTTTTAACTGATGAGCTTAYCTGGAATAAATTCAGATACAAGGTACCCAGGCTTTAATGGTTTTGTCCCGGTGATGGTCAAACAGACTGGAAGAGGGGAAATGTTCTCCTCTCGAAATCTTCACCCAGTTGTAAATCATGGGATTTACATTTATTATGGTTGTGATATACATTAAGTTSTATAGCCCTTTCACTAAGTCCTTGGTTTATATTTTGACATTTAATGTTATARTACTGCCGGTTTTGGTTATTTTTGAAGTTAATCTAACATTAAAGCAGTATGATTCCTGGTTCTTAATTCACTAGCCAGTGTCCTACTCAGAAAGAGGCAGGGTTGTCTTTAAGATAATGTTTGGTATGGATGCTGGTATAGCTGACTAAACTGCATATTCAGTAACTTAGGATCTTCCTTGTGTTTTGGTTTAGGTATTGTGCATACAGACAAGGAACGTCCTTTGTGTACCTGCATTTTCACAATTTTGCTTCCTCTTCATTATTTTAATCAAGAGGAAGTATCTGATAATCTGATCTATGTCCCAATTCTTGATCTCTTAAGATAATGGAGGAGGAAAAGTTTAAACTGCATTATTAAATGGTTTATGCAGACCACACTGGGTTTTGGAAAAGAGAAGGTACTCTTCTAAGTAGGCTTTGTGTTTAGATGGGTTTGTCACAGATGTTCCAAACCCCAAGAAGTGTTGTCTTCACAATTCTGGCAAGGGAGATTTCATCAAAAAGGGATGCCACTTGTGTTTGGCACCAAGGCTGTAGACAGAGCCTGCCCTGGCTGTCATTCATGTTGATGCAGCTTAGCACAGARTCAGGATCAGGGAGATGTCTATTTCCAAACTTCCGAATGTCATTTCAAGCATTGGATCATGTCCTTTTGTTCAGTAAGCTTCATAATGTTACAAGGAAAACAGAAATGCCTCCCATAGGAAAGCTTTCAAGCCCCCACCCCAGATGTCAAGGAACAGAGGAGATCAGGAGCAAGGGGAGGAACAGCCCTGAGGTGCAGGTAGACAGCAAGCCTTGTTTGTCTCACAGTCTGGCCAAAGCTGCTCTGCAGAACTGCTGCTGCTGCTTCTCATGCTGCATTGCCATCAGGCACCCAGTAATCCAGCCTGGGACACACATTCCTGTTGGTGTGCTACTCTTTTGCTGCCTTTGTGTCATTTTTCCATTTAATCAGAATAAAAACTGCTAGGGAATCCTGAAAGCCTTCCATGGAGGCAAAGTTCCTTTGGATTCATTGGTCCTTTGCCTGGCTGTCTTTGTCTTCTTTAAAGTCTAAAAATTATATGAAGCTTCGGTGAGGGAATCMCATGCCTTTTCAGTGGGGGTGCTGTAAAGGCAGTGTGTGTGAATAGCAGTGTAGTTTTAGGGATTTGCTCTTCTTTGATACTAGTTCCCAGGGTCTTTGCATTTTGGGTCACTGGAGATGGATTGTTTTGTAGTTTGYATCCACTTTGCAACAGGAAATTGCAGCTCTTGAATCTTAAGAATCTTGTGCTCATGTATCTTTCCTGAGTCATTCAAGTGTTTTGATGCAGTTTTGARCTCCTGTGGGGGATGCTGCTGGTTCTTGCTGATTTTTTTTCCATTTTTTTCATTTTGGTCTGTGGGACCTTTGGTTTCACTGGTTCARTTTAGTAATTTGAGTCAAGTCTGCAGTGACAACTGTTGACTGGCTTCCAAGTTGGAAGCTTAGGACTACTTATCCTAATCTAGGATTGCACAAGATATGGACCATTGCTTTTATCTGTAACTGATTCTTCGTGGTGTTGTAAGAGTTTGTTTATACTAAGAAAATCCCATTTTGGTGAGAGGGTTACTCAGAAATACTGTGTAAACTCTTCTTCTTGTCATGAAGAGTTCAAAATTCATGTTCAAGATGGGCTCACTAAAAATGTAGCTATTTTAGGTTCAATCAAAATGAAAGCAGCCTGCTACCTGCTGGACTAGTGCTGCAAAAAGTTTTACTTGCAGCTATCTTTGTCATGCCATGGTTTTACACAAGCAGTTACAATGAATCTTAAGGGGTGTGTAGAATGAAGCAGCGGGGTTCTCAAGGTTCAGTGGACAGTTTGCATGTATGGCTCATATGGCAACAGTTCAGGGGTGACCTTTACTGAAAAAAAGTACTGTTTGGGAGCAATTTCTTTGTAAGAGGACACACAGGAAGGTGAAGAATTCTGCATATATGGTTTGTTTTCCTAGATTTTAATCAAGAAGACAACACTTGAGAATTTCCRTTCTGTTTCAGCACCTGAGAGCTGAAGTAAAATCTTCACCTTCAGGAGTTTTAAAGATTGTATGAAATAATTACAGCTTCAGTTCTAGGCTCTGCACTCAGTGATAAGAATTAAGTAACTTTAGGCTATAATGTGTATTTCAAAGGGTTGTAGTCTTTAGTCTTAGCATTCCTGGTAAGTTACTTAAAAGTTAGGTCACTTTGCTTGTAGTAGAATAGAAACCCACAAATAGTTAATGCCAAACTTGGAATTATTTATTATAGATATATTAGCATTTTTAATAAGACTCACACGTTTCAATGAAAAAAACAAGAAAAGCCTTTTGAATTTAAATGTGTGGTTCCTTTAAGCGAAAAGAGTGTTATGAATCTTTATTTTCTCTAGATGACTCTAATTTCTTTTAGATGCAGTTTAAAAATATTTTTAAATAAATTTTAAATTTTAAATTTCTAACAGTTCATCCTGGGAATAGCAGGACTGTAAAATAACTGTTCTTTTTTTCCTTAGGTATTATTGTGGTTTGCATCAGGGGTAATACAGTTACAAGTGACTTGCAATAGTTAATAGAGAGTAATGAGAGCCCTTAAAATTACAATAAATTTCTAGTTTAAAGAAAAGTTTACATAGAAAAGAAAAGTTTACATAGAAAGCAGTGTTGATAGTTGTTACAGACACAGACTAATGTCAGTTTAGCAGGAAAAAAGGATTTTCTTTGTTCAACACCTAGGAGTAATAGAAAACAAACTTTTATTACTTTATTAATATATAGTGTTAAAAAACTCATTCCCWTTTGAAGTTAGGAATATTTCAGTATAACATTTTTGGCGTTTTTCAAAAACAGTTACAYAAGTTAATTTTYGTGCTGAAGATTCTTATTYATTTTTCTGGACAAGAARTTATGTATTTTTACACTATTATGYTGTGTTCATGTATGGGTTGTTTTTTTTCCTCTGGAAGAAAGTCCCTGTAGAAAGGAAATGGGAGCCAACTCTGAAATCTAAAATAAGGACTAAACAGCTTTTCATTTGCCTTTCTACCCTTTGAGATGCCAGAAGCAATTTCCTCTTGAAGCTGACTTCCTTTCTGGAAGTGATTTTCGTCTCCAACCATGTTGAGGCTCTTTTCTCATTCTTTCATTCTGACTAACTTGCTTTTTTCCTCCCTGTCTTTCTACCACAGTTGGGAACTTCTGGAGGTAAGTAATGACAGACAAGTTTCTCTCTAACTTTCTTTTTCAGTTCTTCTTCCCCCCCTCGCCCCCCCTCACCCGGTCAGTCTAGAAGGACAAACAAAGCACTATTGGTGTCCTCTGCAAGAGAGCACTGATAGGGGCTGGCTGTAAATTGACGTGGCATGGAAAATCTCTGCTAGTTTGGAGCAGCTCTAATGTTGCTGCGAAATCAAGCCTACTCTTAAACAAGTTTATAGCTTGAAATCATCACGAGCTTACTGTTCTRTATTAAAAATGAATGGAAAGTACCTTTGCTTTTTGGTCTGGGAACTGGACTTTTTCTCTACTTGGATTTACAGCTAATAGAAAAAAAAAAAATCAAGGGGAATTACTTGGTTACTTTTTTTGTCCTGTAGTAAGAACRACAGATCTTGCTGCTCCCCCCACCTTTTCCTGCGACTTAATCATTTGCAGATCTTGCCATGGGGTGCGGACTGAGAAAGCTGGAAGACCCAGATGATAGCAGCCCTGGAAAAATCTTTTCTACACTGAAGAGACCACAAGTTGAAACAAAGATGGATTCTGCTTATGAATATGTATTGCTGGATTTTACTTTAGAAGGTATTTTTTTTAATGCTGTATCTTTACTATTTTGAAATAAGAAGGAATGGGATTTATCTTAGTTTTCTGTTGTTTGACTTACGGTAAATCTTAGACACTTTTATCAAAGCTAGCCAAAATGTAAGACTTTTATTTTGAAATACAAATCATGACGAAGGTTCTTACTTGTATAAAATTACAATGGAAACTACTGAAGTATTTTTAACAACCAAACCCTCCAAATTACACAACTGTCCTCGTTAAGGAAGCTGGCTAAAAACTGTTAAGAGATTTTTCCTAGTTTCCTGTGAGTCAGATACTGCCATCCGTACTCGCTTTGAATAATGGTTGTCTGAATTCAGTGTGACGGTTCAGAAAATACACTGTGCCTGAGCCTTAATTGAATAACAATTTTTTAAATGCACTCAACTTCTGAAAACAGGCTGTCATTGTCCTTGTTACTTTATGCAGAAGTAAGTCTGTTCTTTAGTTGTGTATCAGAAGTAACTTCCCCTCTTAGCCCACCGCAGACTCTTGGTGGATGTTTCTGTAACAGTCTGAGTTTCGTCTTACTATTTTTTCCAAATGCTTTACTTGTAGCAGTTGAATAGTCTTTTGAAATTGTGACTGAAATGAAACAAAATCTGTATGCATAGCTGGAGGCAGACAGTGCTCTGTGGGATACTTCCTTCCCGAGGGTGTCCCATCTCTAACAGAGCAACTCCCTGTTCCACAAAGTTGAAAACATAAACAAGCCCAGATGGCTGCCCTCAGAGAACAGACAGCTCAGTTTTACRGTCACTTTATAGTAACTTGCATTTTATAATAATCTACTGGAAATGCTTAATAACAAGGATTTGAAGCAAATGCTGTTACTAGAAGGGTTGGATAAAGGGAGACTGTAAGTGCAGGTCTCGCTGCAGTTACAGGAACTTTTCATATACAAAACTTGGCTTCTGATTAGTTTTAACTGTTTTAATATTTGTATTTAAAATACAGCAGTCTTTTCACTAAAAAACTACAATATGCTAATAGAAGATACTCTCTGCCAGGTTATAATGCTGGAAATCTAACTGTTCTGTTTATTTATAYAAAAAGTTTCTCACTGGCTTGTTCCTGCTGAAGAAACAGAATTATTAAGTAGTAGTGGTAAGATGTTGGAAATATAACTGAGCTGCCTATTTCATACATGGATTACCTACTAAGCTACAGATAATAGAAAGGATACACTTTTTGAAGACTGAAGAGCATTTAGTGTTCCTAAATAGCCTCTGTTCTGCATAATTTTTCTGTGTTTTCAAGTTACAGTTTCCATAAGTGGTATAAATTATTTGTTGTAAAGGTGGTTGTGACTTAAGTTAAAGCACATCAAACAAGTGCAAAAAAGGTATATCTCTTTTCAATAAACTAGCAGTACAGCAGTAAAGATCCATATTCTCCTGTTTTGTCTGACAGTCAGAATTGGTTCRTTTCAGTGGAATTATGAATGTTAAATAACTGATCAGTTTGATAGTTGCCTGACTCTTTTTTAGGTTTCTAACTGGAAGTAAGGGGATTTGTTGACACAGGTATCTTTCTATTGAATGGTTCTAGCTATGCATGTACATGATATTTTAATGTTTTTTCTTTGAAGTATCTACTTTTTAGAGCTAAGAGGAATACAGAAAAAAACCCATGGTGTATATATATATATATACTGTCTCGGAAGCATTTTGTGATTCTGATTGCTTCTGAAATGTGAGGATTGGCTAAAGTACTGGGGATAATATATTGAGCTTTATTTCTTTTTTCCTTCTACTCCAGTCAACTTACTTATATACTTGTTGCTATTTAAATATCCTTTGCTAAATGTGAAACTGTGTGAGAGCAATTTATGACTTCAGACCAAAGTTTTTGCTCTGCTGTCAAGTTATGTCATATCTTTATGGCACTTATTCTGCTTTGCTGATTTCCAGAGCAAGGTTTCCCCCCCTACATAGATTTGTTTGCCCCAGTGGTTTCTTGCCACTGGATCTTGCACCAAATARAAGAGAAAATCTGCACTTAATAATAATTTAAGATCTTATAGTAAAATATGTCCTTCGTGGAGATAAAAATATATCAAACATAAATGTGTTATTTATTTTGTGCTTTATCAGGCATATGCTATGTGAAGTCAAAATGARCCTGCTTGGGAAACTTTCAGCAGTCCCTGATCTTTTCTCAAGCCATGATGCAGATTAGGTCAACCATGCTGTAGCCTGAATTTGCTGGCTGGAGTCCCTGTGCATCTTAACTAGTTATTAGCTGTGCACTGAACCTTGTCTTCTCCCCTTCTGCTCCCCAAAATGCTTCCATCCCTACTGTAAAAATTAGCTTTGAGTTCCATCAAGGATGATCTGAATCAGGAGGATCCCAAGCAAGAAAATTACAGCCAATCTTTTGGTGGAATTGAACAGTACAAAGAAAAGGGAGCAGTGGACTCTGAARTGTGAATTTAAATKCCTGTCAGTGATTGTAAATTCTAAGGTCTCCAAGTCATGAGGCATATCCCTATTACAARAACAGCTGCTAATCTTTGAAGTCAGTTTGACTGACAAGTAGGGATAGTTTTTATATTTCTGCTAGTCAGAATGCTTTTGCCTTATCCACAACCCTCCAGCTGGGGAAAAAAAGAAATATTGAGGCAACCTACTAAGATGATATGCTGTCAAGTTCTTGTCTCTTTGAATACCAATATGAATGTGTATGAAACAGGTGTTTTGTCATCATCTTCAGTATCCTGCATCTCAGGCTTACTATGCAGCAAGAAAGTTAGYTGGAGTTATTGCTACAGTGTTTTGGCTACCTGTTGAGAGCATATCAGGAAGGAAATTTTTTATGAGAAAGTGTTTAAGACATTTGCAAAATCAGCAAAGTGATGATCATATTGCATCATTTCTCTTTTTTTGGTTTGTGAGTTGTGAAGCAGTTATTTCTCAATACATGTATCACCTGGATTTATGACGAGTGGAATCATAGGATGGGGGTATTACTAAGGACAGAATATCATCTGTTTACAAAAGGGGGGCTGTGATATATTGTCTACTTAAAAAGGAAAAGCATAACATCCCTGTCCCTGTGACTGAGAATGATTGACTGCTTTGTTTAATAGGTTCGATTTGCTGGTTATGAGCAATAAACCATCAATATGTATGTTCATGATAATGATAGTGTGCCTTTCTTACAGTATAAGTTATTCTGGTTCCCCTTGATGTCTTCTCTGAGCTGTTAAAAGTCTTACAAGGACCAGCAAAGTAGGCCTCCATTCCTTTGTCCCTTTAGTAGAAATTGGTATTAAAAAGCRTTTGAGTGTTGTTTCTGATGGTTGGTTTTTTGTGGTCTTTTTTTGAAGCCCTTCATGATGTGGATATATGTCAATGTTGCCCTCATTTTGTGGTGGGAAAGCAGTATAGAGAGGTTTTACAGAACATACCACTCATCAGCTGGCAGTGTTCTGATGCAGTTCATTCTAATAAAAATAYTTGAGCAAACTAAGGAGTCATATCTCCAGTGTATGATAGTTTAAAACAGTAGGATAGACAGACTTGCTGTGTTTTAGGTCCTTAAATTCCTTGCTATTGCCTACCTACCCTATAGTGCAGGTGGACAAGAGAAGGTAGGAGTATGAAATGAACTCGAGAAAGTCATAAAGATTTATGTAATGGCTTTTATTCTTTTTTGTAAGTTTTAAAATTGTAGAATCAAAGGAGAACTAGTGTGTTTAATTATTTCCAGTTGTATGATTTGAAAGGGAATGTTCACARCATCACACTGAAGTTGTTTGTATCTTGGAAGAAATGTTGTGAGGTCACTTAATTTTGATTGAGGCATCCTTTAATGCAGATGAGCACTGGTCTTAATGTGTGGAAAGTCCTGCAAAGAGGGACCCATCCGAATACAAACAAATAGGCTGCTTGGAGCAGGGGTCACCGATAGACCAGCACATTTCAAGCCAAGCTGTTTTGTTATCAGAGCTTAAAACTGCAAAGGATGAAAGCTTTGGCAATTRTGTGCTGGCATAATTACTCTTCTGMTRCWGTGTGTGAGTATTGATTTCCTGCTTTCTGAGAGCATCTACAGTTCCAGTTGTATTTGAGCAGGAATTACTGACCTATCAAACTCACTGTAGCAGAATATATATCTGTTACTTGTGTGGAATCTTCCTTTTCTCTCTGTRAAAGCTGTGGACCATTCCAAAAAGCTTCTCCAAGAAGTTTTCCTTTCAGTYCTGTAGATTTCCCTAATAGTGATGTATTGTCCAGGTGCTGCCTGTTGATGCAAAATGCCTGCATGTGCTGAGAGGGACCCTCTTTAGAAATCAATGACACCTCAAGCTTACTTAGATGGTRTGTGCTTAGGTCTGTTGAAAAAAGGAACAGGGACTATATCAAGATGTCAGCCAATACTTCACAGATCACTTCTAAGGGAAAGAAAAAAATTAATGGAAATAAATCAGTTCTTGTAGGCTTAAATCTGTTACATGGGAATTTACCTCAAAGCTGTTATTGAGTGATACTGCATCAGTATGTTAAAGGCTTTGGCTAGCCAAAATAGTTGCTTTGTCAAGTTCAGCCCTATTGTGTATTTAGATGTTAACACAGCTTTTAAGTCAGCTTGGCAGACCTWGATCAAACAAAAAGTGTTGCCAAGTATGTTAAAAATAGATCATATTAAGTTGTAAAAATAGGTACTTGAAGTAGTTGAACAGTGTTGAATCATCTGTGAATCTGCTTTTTCTTGTATAAATAGAATTGTAGCTTTTTAATAAATGCCTGGGGATAAGTTTGTTGTGGTTTGCATAAAAGGAACTCACCCGAAGTGTTYAGGGACATACACAGTATCATGTGCTTCTCTTCTGCTTTCAATGCTTTTCAGCTTCCTCAAATCCAGAAGTTATCAAGATTAGTTCTGTGTTGGATATAGCATCTCGGGTGGAAGAATATTACAGCAAAGGCTATGTTGTGGGAGCTGTTCATCCCATTMTGCTGCCAGTTGGACGGAGAAGGAATTTCCCTGCAAGTCACATGTATCGAGTGGTACTGTCCAGATTAAAATTAAGGTAACAGTAAAATAGTTTCAATACACTGATCCTTTACTTAACCCATTTGCAAGTGAATTGATCAACATGCATAACATATCAATTTGAAATGAGCACCTCAGATTAACAAATTAGAAATGTTTTTTTAATCAATGCTAAGCATACAGTAGGCTAATGTTTTCTTTGGCTTAGTAAATGTCCTAACAAAAATCCAGAGTGTAATATCCTCCATCTTAGAACCTGCAGCAAATAAAAGATTAACCGAAACACTAGGAGAGTAATAAGCTGCTTTAAATTATCTCATGTCTGCTTTTTCTTGGTTTTCAAAACGTGTATCTTTTCCCAGGGAAACATGGGAAATCATTGGAAATTATGGGAACATGGGAAATACTTTGTGAATTAACTTATCAAGGATAGTTTGGGGATTTTTCTTATTAAKAAGGAAGTCATCCTTCTGTGATCAGAGGTCGTACAAAAGCATTGTAATTACCCTGTGGTTTAAAAGCACGCATACAAAACAATGTTACCACTAGTTMCTTTGAATGCAAAGAAGATTACTTCTTATTTTGAATAACTAGAAAAGTGAATTTCTTACTGCATTAAAAACTGTCATGCTTCCCCCTCTCTCCTGAGTCCTCATCTGATGCACAGAGGTTTTTGCCTTTGAGGACTGGAAGGGTGTGAATTGGAAGCTGCCTCCCTGCCACTCCAGCAATGCTTTCATGAAATACATTCATTTGAGAGAAATTCTTAAACCCTTTGATTAAACAAGTGTTGTCCAGAATATTTGTAGCTCATATAGCTGTTATGAATTCATCTAAAAACAAGGTGAATGCTGTTCTTGTGGGCAAAAGGTTGAGTAAGAAAGTAGAATGCTTGCTCTGAAGCTGAGGCTTCCACGAGCTGATGCTGCCAGCATGAAGCTCCCWCAGTTTGCCTTATCCCTGTAGAAATGGCATCCTTTGGAAGTTGTTGTTTGAACCTTTAGGTCCTTGAATGGATGAAGGCTGAGACTCTGTAGCCTCCATGTGAAACTGGTGTATGTTCCCAGTTTCCTACCAGGTGCCATATGTAACAAGATTGGTTTTGCTGTAGGCAAATACACTTTTTCCAGTTACTATTTGGAAAGTCACCTTTTGTATTTGAATATGTCTCATTGATGTTCTTTTCTAAATGAAATGATTATATGAAGGAAGCATTAAATAAAATCCCATTATATTTTTGGCACTCACTTAAACGTCTGATGAATAACACAACTGGCTTTATATAAAAGATCAATATTATTCKATAACTTTAAATGCAAGTTAGAGTTTGTCAGCTTAAGTTTGAGAGATTTAAACCTTCTTTAACCCTCAGTGTTTTTGCCTTGTATTTGCCTATACTGTTTCATTTAACAGCTGCAGTTCTGCTTTAGTTACAAAAACTAAGCAGGAGGATGTTAACACTGTAAAAGGACCATTTCTATTCATAGTATGTTTTCTACAAAACTGAAGCTGCTTTTGTGTGTTTTGCATTATCAAAGATTTTTGCATTTATTTACTCTATCGGTAAAGCTCAATTTCCATCTCTCTGCATGGTCTTGAGATAAAATTCCTGTTAAATATTAATATTCTTATCCTGGCATTGAAACTCACAGTATTTGCCACTTTGTGTAAGAAACAGAACAAAACACCAAAACCCACTGAGTTCTAAAAAGTATGAAGAAGCATTGTCAGGATTTCATTCATAAYTATTCCAAAAGAAAAGAATTCTGTATGCAAGCATTTGCTCAAGTTAGCAGCAAACTCCTGACAAAGGCTGCTTTCTTTCTCTGTTCTAGCCAGAAGCATGCAGCACCCAGAGGACAAAGGCACCCCAGGCTGGTGATTGAGGAATGTCCTTTAACATATGAAACACTGACAAATGAAGTAGTGAAAGAACTGCTAGAAAAGGTAATGGACTTCTTTTCTGACTTCAGTGTTTTATTTCTGACATACATGTAAGTTCTATTTCATGGCTGTGTTTTTAGTTTTACGTTTATTTTATAGAAGCTACAAAACTTCTCTCAAAGTTAGAAAAGAGTAACTCTTTTTAATGTACGACTTAGTATCACTGTGAAGCTTTGGAAGATTGGCTGCTTACATTGTTGAAAGCAGAATCAGACCTGGTCACTCTTTGTAAAATGCTTGCATGATATCTRAAGTTTTATATTTTTTGTAAGTCCCTAAAAAGAAATGTTTTTTTTTTCATTCTTTAACAAAAAATACAACATGTATAGSAACTATACAAAATATTTACTTGGCACTGCTTTTGAAAACATKGTATAGTTAAAGTAAACTACTGGAATGCAAGTTACAGTTCTGGTTCCTTGGGTGTTTAACTTCCGCTGCAATATTGAAGACTTGCTGAAACAGGAAGCTGTTGTTATTTCAAGAGTTAGTGATAYCTTTTACATTAGTTCCCAAACAAGGTAGAAGAAAAAGCAGATTGGAGATGTGTAATGGTCTTTGAAATTTTAAGAGCTGTTTATATTTTTCTAAGTGGCTAGTTTTCACTTTTGCAGGTATTTCTAATTTAAAATGTGATTACATTATGCATTTATAAGCTATATGCCAATTTCCAGGTTGGTAGTGTAGTGTAGTGTACCAGACAAAGATTAGAAAATCGCACTTGAAATGAGCAGTGATGGAGTCTTGGGAGYATATCTGTTGCAGAAGTAGTATGTGAGAATAATTTGATTTTAAGATGCTCTGTTTTGAAAAGATAGAGCCATTAATCCAATAAAAACATCCTGCTTTTTTACAAAAATAAAAGATCTGAAACAGTAAGACTTTGTGGCATTTCATGAAAAAGATTATCATGTTGCCTGGTTTTCTCTTGTTAAATTTAGAACTGTTTTGGTTGTCCTTGAAGCAGGAGCTCTGTATATATAATCACATGATTGGCATATTGTATCATTGCTGTACATAAAAAATGACAGTAGAGAAACTGAAGTGTCACTGTCATGATATTAAAAGGGATTGCAATACCATCAGTCATTTGATTTTTACTCACTCGGGTGACTAAGAGTGAGTAAACTGAATAAAGATTCTTCTGTCCTTGCCCTCACTTAATCCTGTACTTCCCAAGTGATGTCTCCTTTCTGAGCTGAGGCTTCTGTATTTGCCTGGGAGGACTTTATTTCACAGGGAAGCTTGTAGCACAAGATGTCAGTGAGGTCACCTTCCTAAATGGCAGCATTCCTTAACCCAGGGAAAAATCCACCTCCAAGAACAGATATATAGCACAGGTGGCACAGATGTGGCAGTTGTGTATTGAGACTTAAGTGCAGAGAAAAAGACACCACTGTCTGAAAGAGTGAAGAGGGTTTTCATTGGCTTCTAGCTCCCTCCTTTCTCTGGTCCTCCAATATTCTCAGTAATACAGGAGCTGAGTAGCCCCAAAGGGAATCAGGGGCTAATGACTCATGCCACATGACAGAGATATTTCTATGGTATTGGAAGTCAGTATCTTTAGTGTGACTGGCATCACATATTTATTGCTCTACTATACTGCTTATCACTGCAAAACAGTGAATAAAACACTTTGGGATTGTTCTAAATAAAGGACTTTGTATACTCTGATGTCAGTACCAGTGTTGGCCACCTTTCTTGTCCTGACTCCAARCACATGCTGGAAAACTTCCATTTACTCTGAAGCAGAAGCAGCATCAAAGACAAGTCACCCTTCTGTAATACAATGTTATGCCTTTATGTCCTCAGCAGTTAAGCAGTTCATGTATGCACAAGATTTAAAGAAGAAAAGGTTCTGTGCAATTCTAAAATGACTTTGCAGCTAAATTTATGTTGTATTGCAGGTTAATGAAGCTGCTAAAAGAGGAAAGAAGTTTGTGGGATTTGTAACACAACATTTTCCTCAGCCTAAAGCCTGTAATGGAACAAGTGCAGATGGAAGTGCAGAGCTGGAATCAACACTGGGCAGAAGAAATAGGGAACACAGAAGAGAAAACTTTGATGAAAACTATAAAAACTGGAATGAAGGAACATTGAGCGGTCACTCATCTGAGAGTGGGATAGAGGAGGAAATGCATGGAGAAAGCAGACTGTTAGAGGATTCAGATTTCCAGTTTGGAAAAGATGTCAGCCTTCCTAAACCACGAAAAGGAGATGGTAATAAATGCTGCTTGTTTGTTGCAGAAATAAGGTATTTTATTGAGTTGTTGCGGTGTCACAAAAAAATGGAAGAAAAGCAGTTTCTGTTTTATCAAATACTGGTTTTGGAAGATGCCTCTACATCTGCATATGTAAATGCATGCATATTTCTAAAAAAGTTGCCAGTAAAAGCAGAAGAAATAGTTACCTTTCTGTTTTATGTATGTGAGCTGTGGTAATGTATTAAAATTAGTAAATGGAGTATTATAGCTGTACTGTCAGAATTCTAGTTTGTAATTTAAAGAAAAAGTGAAAACCACAAACCAACCCTTCAGAATCATCCATGGTGTAATTGTGATTTGAAACATGTTGCAAACATGTTGGTTTTTTCTAGATATGTGTATGTGCAGTAAAAATCCTTCCTTTTAGGAGGATGCAATGGTCATAAAATATTTACTGCAATGCMCATGTAGCTTTACTTAGTATTCAGTTATGTAGTGATTTCCAAGTATATGTTGTGATTTCAGTTGAGCCTGTTTCAAAGCTGACAAAGGAAGTCCCTTCCAGCTAGAGCCATAATTTTACATGCTTCCAGGCAACCCACATAATGTACAGCAAATAAATCCGTTCATAATGGATTCTTTCTGGTTAACGTGCCATCAAGAGGTGTCCTGAAAGAGATCACTTAAATTAATGCATTGACCATGAAATCAAAGACAATAATTGTTACAAAATGAATTTATTGGAGAAAAGGAAGCATTAGAAGTATAGGAAGGAAAAGCATAATTGAAAAAATGCTGGTGCTGTGATGGACAGCTTAGTTGTAGAAGAATGAGGTGCTTGGTGAAGTCTGTGTGAAAAATGGCCTGAAACATTGACTTCTGGTACTGAAACTCTAAGGCCTGCTGACTGCTAAGAGGAGAAGGTAAAAAGGAAGAAGTAATTGAAGTATGAGAACTAATGCAAGGCAGGATTTTGTGGAAAGCAGGCATCATGAAACCTTCATGTCAGGCTGTATTTTGACTTAATCAGCTCTTCCTGGATGAACCAGACATGTTTTGATTGCTCTCAAAAGCAACCTCTTCACTTTGCTGTAAAAGCAGCCTCTCCAGTTTAAAGACGTGAGAATAACAACTCTAAGCATTGAGGTAATCAATGTCCCTCTTATTTTTAACACTCAAGTAAAAGCAGTTCTCCAACAAGTGAGCCTTTGTAGCATAATGTGTTAAAGCTTAACTCTTACAGCCTGAAATAGTGGGTTTGCTATATGTAGCAGAATAGAAGTCCTGCAAGGAGGAATTGGACAACTCTTGCTTCTGTTCAGGAGATTCATTTGTGCAGACTGGTGTGACCAGGTAGATCAGCAGCCAGTGCACACCCTACGTGCAGTGTTGTCAGGAAACTTTCCAAAAAGCTTTAGCATGGATATGCCAGGCTTCTCTACACTAGTCAAATAAAAAATCACTGGAGTTCATAAGATAAAACTGGACATGTAACCACCTTTCTTAGTCTATGTTTTAAATAACCATTATTTTGAAAAATACTGCTGTTAATTTTCCAAGATGGTTTTACATGTGCGTAGGTATGTACTGCCAGTGTGGCACTTCCATTTACCACTGCTCAAAAGAGGCAAAACTTCATCCAAGTTATAGATTTGGGGTTTATAAGGTAGCAATTTTTACTGTTAGGTTGCTTTCTGGCCTCTTCTTTTAAATTTTGACTATAATACATTGCTTGCAGAGGTAAATTTCTGGTAGGTGTGACGAATTGAATAGTTGCATTGAGAAACTTTTTTTTTCCTGAAGAATGAGTGATCTCACTTCAATATATGGGAAAGGAAATTAAGGTTTGTCAGGATAAACACATCTGTTGTAATATGAGCACCTGTGAAAATGGTAAAACTAGATAGAGTCATTTCTTACTGAAAGTTCAAAATTTTCTTCTGAATTTGCATTATTCCAGGCACCTGATGTCAGTTACAGTGGGAGTGGTAATACTTCTCAAAACAGAGGGGTTCTTCTAAATACTGATTCAGATTCCTTAGAGGACAAATCCTACTTTGGGATTATATCTCTGTTTCTGGAGCATAGAGAGACTGGCTTCTTCAGTTGAATCGTCTAAGCCAAATTCCTTTGTTTTGACAGTGTGAGAACTTCTGTGTTTAGAGGTTGGTTTCCATTGATTTAGATTGCCTAATACTGGTGGGCAATCTGAGAAGATTTTTTTGGCAGCTGCTTTATGTTATTTCTCCACAGCAGTGCCACACGAGTGTATTTGTGCATTACACACTATCATTCTGTAACTTGCACCAGTGATTTCCTAAAATGCTATGCATCTCTTAGTTTTTAATGAGTACTTGTTTGTGACTGGCTTTGTTACAGCACTGTATTAATATCTAGATAGAAAAACAATTTGAGGATATGTTGGTTTTGTATCCTTAACTTTCACTGATCATCAGTTACTACAGGGAAATCCCAGTAGGCAACTAATTAGACTGGTACTTGACTTCAGAAAATAGTGGGTTAAAATCAGTACTGTACAAGGTATTCCCTTACATTTACAAACTTAGAGAATTGTCCTTTGTTTTTACAATTGCATATGGTTGTAGCCAGAATTTTCATGAGAGGCAGAAATTAAGCCTGCTTCCACTGGGATTTTCTTGGCCCTTGTGAGTTTTCCTTAGGCAAACCCCACCTACCTCAAGAGTCCAATGACAGTCCAAGTGTAGGAAGTTGACATTTTCCTCCTATCCCAAAGTGTGCCTCCCCTCACACCTTGTCCTGCATGTGTTTAGGTCTTAWGCAGAGCCATGTCAAGAAACAAGTATTAAAACTGTTGCTTAGAATTAGAARATTAYGTTAAAATAACTGGTTAGTAATGTTACTAATTTTGGAGCRCTGTCTTTGATGTTCACTCTYCCTTTCTCTCTCCTTAGACAAGCTRTATACAGTCTTCAAYGTTTTTGATGATGATTCTACCTGCTGGAGCTACCACGAAGGTGTTTTGTCTATGAAAGTAACAAGAAAGGGGCCAGTTGTTASTACACTGGAAGCAGACTGGCTAGAATTAACTTCATTTTATTATAAACAAGGATTGTCCTTAGTTGATTCTTTTGTGCACTGGGAAACTTCTAAAGGTGAGTACTGTCCCAGGATATCATGAAGATTTTSCTTGTTTACACAAAACTATGCCACTTGAAAAAAATTATGATTATATTTTGCTTCTTGATGTGAAGGTCAATATGTAAACATGTCCAGATAGATCTGTAACTGCCCAGAAAATCAATTACTCCCTTTTTAGGTTTCAGATTCTACTAATTGATAATAGATCAAGTAATAGAAAATTTACAAAGCAGGAAACTGGTATCACTTTATAACAGAATAACCTTTTATGCCAGTTCTTTTGGTTTGGTTTGTGCTTTCTCAAGGAAAAGACAAYGGGATGAAAAGTATTTAGAACTCTAAAACTCAGTTGCTGATAAAATGTGTAATTGCAGACTCATTTTTAAAAGCCAGAAGTTAAGTGTGCAAAAAATAGTAGGTAGCTACTGTTGTGCAGTTGCTTAAAAAAAAGTGAAGAAAATGGTAGTACCACAGTGTTAGGGGTACAGACCAAGACAAACYGATATGATTAAGCAAATCTGAAACAGGTATTTTAACAAATGTTGTTTGATAGCAGACCTACATTTTATACTGCACTAAGGTGATACTTTGTCTTTGGTTGGTGAGGTTCTTCTTGCTTGTACTAAGTTGAAAGTTGTTGGTGTTCCTTYAGAATTAATTATTGCAGTCCAGTATAAGTAAGCAAAACACAGGGTTGCAGTGGAGGGAAGTCTTGTCAAATRTTTGCTGAAAAGGTTTCAGGGACCTTGAACAGTTTTTGCAGTGCTCAGGCTGATTATCAAATGCAGTAGATAATTAATAATGTATTAAAGTGGCTTTCGTAAGTCATTTTGTTTGCTTCTCACACGTATTAAATGAGGAGGGTAAAATTCCTGTCAGTTGTTATATATACTATGTTGTAACACTTTTTTCTGATAATTCTTATTTTAAATAATATGCACTCATCATTCTCTTTGCAAGGCTTGTATTATTGAAGACCTTAAATTAAAAAAAATATGTAAAACATAAGATTTTTACAAGTTTTATTATGGTTCTTTAAAAACAAAAACCTTACACTAAAGCCAACTCTCCAATTTTCACTGCTCCCCATGGTTTTGAGTGTGAATCACTGTTTCTGTAGCTCTGCAATAAATTCAGTGACTGTCAGAGTCATGTAAGCTCATCAGCGTAGATTTACTTCTGATGGAATTTGGCAGCTAGTCCCCCTCAAACTTGTGCACATAAACAATCTGATGGCACTGTTTGTAGTAGTCGTGTTTTTTGCTGTGGAACTGTTATTCCTATTTATTTAAGTCATTGGAAGAAAAGAATTTTCCTCAGGCCAGGAGAGGTGAGAATTCAGTTTGTGTTTTTCAAGATAGTTTTTTTAGAGCTGGAAAAGAACTCTCTGGAGATCTGTTACAGTTGACTGAGGGGTGGTTTTGGCAGCTGTTGAAATTAATCTTTGCAGCTGTTGTCCAACAGCAGTTTTACAGTCTCCCCTTTCCCCATGGAGAGCCTGCCTGCTYTTCTCTGCATCAATAACTCCCCCATCTTTAATACCCAGGTAATAACATACMTCAGCCAGTATTGGAGGGGATTTAAAGCTGATATTTGGAGGATTACATCATTTTACTGTACAAATTTAGTTTGTTAGTCAGCTGTCGGRGTAAATCTCCACAAAAGGCTTCTCTGAGGCTATTAGGAGAAGCAAATCCAGAAAATGAATCAATATTTGATGCACAGCTTTAGTTTGGGCCAAACGGATGCTACCAGGCTTTGACATGTGAGTCAGGGAGTTGTGCTCTGACACTTCCTTCCCTTCAGGAATCTTCCTACAATTACTTGTTYCAGGCACTTCCTGTGGCCATTTATGTATTTAGCTGTAGTTAAGCTTTATGGTTCACTCATTTTATGCTCTCCCCCTCCACACCAAAAGTCACACTTTTTGTCAGGAAGACAATGTTGAAGTTAAAAAAAGAAAGGGTTGTGCCTGTGCTCTGCAGTGGGTATGTTGAATACAGGAAATTGGAATTCAGATTGGACTGTGGATGGAGTTAATGCTTTTCAAAAAATAGTTTATAATTCAATTTGTATTAAAAAAAAGGGATTTTAATAGTAAGTTGACATTCCAAGTTGTAACTAGATGCATAAATAACCACAAATTTCAGTTTGATRYAASATTTAATTTTATTTTAGAGGACTGKTCAATGAGGRAAWAAAAATCTTGYGTACATCTTGATAATCTATGAACCTAAAACTCTATGTTCACAGGGGATTATTTGCCCAAATCTTTAGAAGGATTATTTATCTATGAAGAAGAAGGTGCTGGGGTTCCAGGTTCTAACAGGAAAGGAAATGATGCAATAGTTGTTGAACAATGGACAGTCATTGAGGTAAATAGGTGATTATTTGGCAATGCTATTTCCTACTTGTATTTTTCTTTGTTTTTTCCTTTTGGATGCTTGTACCAGTGTTCCATAAACATTCAGGATGATTCCCTGAAGTCACCTGCATAGGCTTAAATAAAGCCATGAATCATAAAATGAAATCAGATTTGTGGGCATTGGTAAATGTGCATAAAAGAAATATGCCAGAGGGATTGTGGCCTGAAGCAACAAAGAAAATGTTTGGAGGATTTTGTGTGTGTTTTTCAGACCAATTTAGATGTAATTACAGCAAGTTCAGGTCGCATCAACAGTGTGAACTATTTTTAAATAAGAAGGAGGAGAAAATAACTAGAACTAGAAACAGAACAAGAGTAAACTGTTAATGAGTTAATTCAATATGGTATTGAGATATATATTTTTATAAATGTTTTACTGCTAGATATGAAAGACTTGGGTTTCCTAATAAATTTGTATTTACTCCTATAGTAAGATACAGCAAGAAAATTAGTTCAATTGTTCTTTGGAAATATTCTAATATTTTTGGATTATTGGTATCAATGGCATCTGAAAGCAGTTGTTGTTGGAGGATATTGAGGCCTTAATTTCAAAATATCCCATGATAGATACATTTACCAATGTGARAAAGAGCAACATTAAACTAAAAACTTGTATGTTTAAAAAAGACCACCCATAAAAAAAAACCAACTAAACCTTAAGTATGTAGCTAGATGAAATCCTTATTCTTCACGTGGTGGTGTAAGAGTGTAAATTTATCAACTGAGACACCTGATTATGGTGCTTAAAATGTTTTAAACTTGTCACTTTACTAAATTAGTGCCTAATGAGCAAGATGTGATTTGAATTAAATGTCTTGATGAGTCAGTGCTCATACCTAATGTTWATACATTCTGTTTTCCATGGATTTTGTAGTCTTGAACTTTTCAAGTTGTTTTCAGTTTGAAATCATGGATCTCCACCAAACAACAGCTTGATGTCATCTCAAAGAATTATCCCATTAAAAGTGAGAGGGGAGGTGGTATAATTGTRTAGAAATGCAAGTAAAACCTGTAGAGTCTCTTTACTACTTTTTATAATTATTAATGTAGGGGTGTGAAATTAAAACAGATTATGGACCTCTGTTGCACACGCTGGCTGAGTTTGGATGGCTCCTGACCTGTGTCCTGCCTACACCAATTGTACGACATGACAGGTACCCAAACTATGGATTACTGCATTTTTGGTGTCTATGTCTGAAAATTATCAAATAATTACTTGCAGATTTAAATGTAAAAGGAAGAAAAATGGYTGCTGATGTTAAATGTAAGTAAAGCTTGAGATGTAGGTAGCATTTTTGTGGAGTGTTTTACCTCATTGTCTTAGGATGAATACATTGTGCAAACCTAAACATGGAAGATTTTATTTAGAAAACTTTTTATTACATACACAGTCCAGAGCACTGGGATTAGTCATGCTTCAACTGGGAACAAGTGTGAAATGTTTCACTAGTYTAGGACCTTGGTGAATGACTGATTTAGGTTGTGGAAAAAGTCATGCTGTCACAAGACCCTTCTGGAGTATTTATGGCAAATTAGGGCTGAGAATGTGCTAATCCATCAAGTTTCAGGGTGGTTTCTCTTCTTTTAATATAGACTTTATGGTTCACCTGAAATATAGTACCAGACTACTGGATTTCAGGTCTCTGGTTGTAATACTTACTGAGATGAGTGGTGTGACAGCTCTTCTTATATAGGAAAGTAAATTGCAGACCTGGATTCCCCATAAGGTTCCAGGCTTTCTTTCTTTTTTTTTTTAAGAACTCTCCCAAAAATGCACCGGGGCTTTCCTTGTATATCAAGCTAAAAAATGGTAAATGAAACTTTAGACTAAGTGCTCTTARTGCTGCTCTTCTCTCACCTTTTTTTTGTTGTTGTTCTTGGGTTTTTGTTTAAAGTTCTCTGCCCATTAGATTAAGATTGCCAAACTTCAAAAGCAAACAAATGTACTGAGGCATGGCTTAGGGTTGATTAACAGCTGTGGAAAGAGTGGATGACTTCAGTCATCTTTGGATCCCAGACCTCACTGTGTTAAATCAAGACAGCATGAAAAAGATGTGAATGAAAGATCCTAAGAAGGCTGCTGCAAGAAAGTGAAGTTCTGTTCAAGTGATTTGACATAATTAAATCAACTCACACATGTAAGAAGGAGGCTTTTTTGGTCAGGATATAGGTGTTGAGGTTTTTTTGGCAGTGTGTTTTCTAATAGTTGATTTTAACCAACTGATTAAATGCAGCCAAAAGAAGTTGTGGTACAGTATGGTGTGTTCTGTTGCTTTAATTTTTTTAGGGTCTCTTTTTTTGTTTTCCTCTGGAAGAAGAAGTGGTTTTCAGAATATGAAACAAATTGTAATTCTTCAATTTCTTCAGTAGTTTTGTAGTCATCATTTAATATGGTGACTTAAAAGGCTATATGAAATACTGGGCCTGGTTTTCATAAACGGCTTAAATTTTGGCTAAATCTTAGAGCTTGAGAGAAAGTCTTCAGAATCTGAGTCTAATCTTTGAAGAATGTCCATGAAGAATGAGAGAGAKATTTTAGTAGTCATGGTGTGTTCTGAGTCATAGGATGATAGAATTTTGAACTTCCAACCTCTTGTGTCCCACAAGCAGTGTAACTGAGCCCATCCCCATAGGATTTGGACAAGAAGGGTCAGGAATGTCTGAGCAGCTGCTGAGTGATGCTCTGGGAGTGTCAGTCTGTGCTTGCAGCAGAACAAATGGTGCTGGTTTGTACCTCCACAGATCACAGAGCAAAGGCAGGGCCAATTRAAAGAGGCAAGTGCTGTAAGGAAAAAGAAATAGTGCTGTAGGAAGCATTAGCAGCTGGGTTAGACTGGAGCTGTTCCTTGAATTAGTGAAAATACAGCAGGAAGATATTTAGGCTGTGCTCGATGGCTGAAGTAGTGCTGTAACCCAAATGTGAAACAACCAGTCCATTAACAGCAGTGCTCGTGCTAAAGGGGGTTATACCCTGGCTAAATCTGAAACCAGATTCATTTTSTATCCAATCCACTCAGACTAATAAAAACCATTTGTTTTTTGGCCTAAATGGTTGAGTAGGAGTCTCTATGAATTGTCTAATGCTTGTTATCCCACTGTGGCTTGTGAGTTACTCTTGGAAGAAATAGGATGAATCATGTTTTCTGTATCTCATATACAGCAATTCAATTTTCTTTTTAAAAAGTACAAAAGCTTTTGAAGAAGAATTCCTAATTAGGAATTGAGAATTCACAAGAGTCAGAAAATTAATATCATCTTGTTCTGATAGGCTAAGTAGTGATTGTTAGCTGCTATTTTTAGGCATTGATGTTGATATTTAAGGAAGAGAAGAAATTCCTGGATGGTTACTGAGTGTCTGATATGAAAGATGCCTTCACTGTAGTGGTTGTGGGTTATCCTAGGAATGTGAGCTAAAAGTCTTAATAAAGAAGGACACTTTATGCTGTTCAACAGTTGGGGGTTTTTTTCCCAGACTAGGAACTCTGACCWCAAAACCCAGCCTGAATATTAACAGGTTTTAGAAACACTGAAAAAACCAAAATGAGCAACRTTTTGGGATGATCTGAAAAATACCATGTTTTCATATTTATCTTTCAACTACAATTTGTACATAGTATTTAAAGAAAGTTTTGTCTGTTATCCCCAKTTTTGCTTACTGTAGTACTTTACCTTATTCCATCTTCCTTTTGTCCTAATTTATTGCAAAACTTTGCCTTATCTCAGATCTTTTGTGATCTGTTCTCAGGCATGGAGAGCAAAATCTCMAGACACTGCTTGCTTGCAGATGAAAAGTGTAGCCAACACCAGTTCTGGGTGTGATGGGGCTGTCATGCCCTGGTGTGTTCCTTTYCAGCTTTTTGCATGGTTAGGATTGGAAATAGTTTAAAAAAAACATCAGGCTGTCATGTCTGTTCCTGTGTGGGTTTGTAGTTTTTCATTTTTTTTTTATAAATCTTACTCTCAAATGTCCTGATGTGTGAAGTATTCTGAGAGCTGAATGTCATGGGATAGCAATCTGGAGACCTGTTTACTCCTTTATCTCCTGCCTCAACAGCTAAATTATGTTGGATGCAGGAAACATTTCCTTGAGAAAAGTTGCCTTTCTTGAAACATGCTCAGTGGTGATTTTGTTCAGCATGGTTTGAAAAATAAGCATTGTGGATCTTGGGTTTGTTTCTGACAGATTATAGATTGCGTAGAAGTTGCCCTCTTCTAACAGTGACTTTTTTTTCTCCAGGAATGTGAGGAAAAAAGCATTAAAAAATGCATGTGATGCAATGTTTGTTGTATACATCCATGTTGGGTATTTAAACTGTGTCAGGGAGTCAATAAAGACATTTWYWGWYT